AGGGACCTTCAAGCTCATCCAGCCCCACCCCCCCTGCCAGCAGCAGGGACCCCTTCCACTAGACCAGGTTGCTCAAAGCCTCATCCAACCTGGCCTGTGAGGGAACTCACCCAGATAACCACCTCTCCATAACTGACACTGATCTCAACAGGCAACGAAGCACCAAAGGGTGTCAGCACCCCACCTGCACTGCTGCCTCCAGAGCTGGGGCCACCAACAGCACAAGGACATGGAGCTACTGGAGCCAGTGCAGAGGAGGCCACGAGGATGATGCGAGGGCTGGAGCAGCTCTGCTGTGAGGACAGGCTGAGAGAGTTGGGGCTGTTCAGCCTGGAGACGAGAAGGCTCCGGGGAGACCTTCTAGTGGCCTCCCAGTACCTGAAGGGGCTCCAGGAAGGCTGGGGAGGGGCTTTGGCCAAGGGCAGGGAGGGAGAGAACAAGGGGTGATGGCTTGAAAGTGGCAGAGGGGAGATGGAGCTGAGATGTGAGGAAGAAATTGTTTGGTGTGAGGGTGGTGAGCCAGTGTCCCAGGTTGGCCAGAGAAGCTGTGGCTGCTCCTCCCTGGAAGTGTTCTCGGCCAGGCTGGATGAGGCTTTGAGCAACCTGGTCTAGTGGAAGGAGTCCCTGCTGCTGGCAGGGGGGTTGGAACTGGATGAGCTTGAAGGTCCCTCCCAACCCAAACCAGTCTGGGATTCTATGATTCAGGACATGGGTTAGTGGACATGGTGGTGTTTGGTTGACAGTTGAACTGGATGTTCTTAGAGGTCTTTTCCAACCTTAATGATTCTGTGATTCTACAATTCTGCCACCAACCACGCTGCCCCAGGAGCAGATCCAAGTCTCCATCATGCAGGACAAGACTAAATTAATTTACTGAGGTCCATGGTGGGCTTGTCCAAAGGCACAGGCAGCCCAGTATGGGTTACTGGGACCATCTCTGGAACATAAGGACAGGGCAAGCCCACAGTGATCCTTCCTCTGTGTGTCCTCCAAGCTATCACACCTTGGTTCTCCAGACATCCAGAGCCAGACAGGAGTCCTCAGTACAAGAGGAGCCCAGAGAACCTTCATGTCCCATCAGCTGGTTCCAGAGTCACCTCCACCAGTTTGAGTTACAATTGAAGTGACACAGGTTGTGCTGGGAACTTACCCACGATGTTGGGGTGTTGGAGGTTTCTCAAGATCTTGGCCTCTTCGTTGAGTCTCTGCTGGTAGATGTTTTGCTGCCTGCTGTTGCATTTGGAATTGATTTTCTTCACAGCCCAAGGAGAACGAGACAAACCTCGAGGAGATCTGCAAGGGGAGAGTCACAGATCTCAAGGTCACAGGGGAGCTGACCTGGAGAACTTCTGCTTTTCTTTTGTGGAGTTAATGAGGAGTGATGAGAAGATGAAGTTTGCTGAGGTGCAGAGTGGCTTTGGCCAGGTCCAGGGAATTTTGAAAGCACATTTGTGTGGATTCTCATTTCCAGGTGGAGAAGCCAAGACTTGGGGTGAGGAACAGCTTGTTCAGCAGAGCCAGGAATGGACCCCAAATCCCTAAACTCCAGGCTGATGGGGTCACCCCACAATGGTGGGGGCTCCTTCCCAGCACTGATACCTCCAGAACATGTGGGACAGGTGGAAAACTTGGGCTTCTCACTCCAAGAAGGACATGGAGGTGCTGGAGCGTGTCCAGAGAAGGGAACGGAGCTGGGGAAGGGTCTGGAGCACAAGTGTGCTGAGTTCCCTTGTGGCTGAGGGAACTGGGGGTGTTGAGCCTGGAGAAAAGGAGGCTGAGGGGAGACCTTGTGGCTCTGTGCAAGTCCCTTGGAGGAGGGTGGAGAGAGGTGGGGGTGGGTCTGTTCAACCAAGGCCCAAGGGACAGGACAAGAGGAGATGGCTCCATCTCTTCCCATCCCATCTGTTATTCTTTGGGGGGGAAAAGATGCCAAGCCCCATTCCTGAGCATCTCCACCCCCCCGTGGTCTCACAGGTACCTCTTCATCAAGTAGACGTTGACCCCAGTGCCATAGCCAAGCTTCTGCATGAAGGGAGAGGCCGGGATGGTGACAGCAACGGGGCCACCACCTAAAAAAA